CCGGGCACTTGCCTCCGCCAGTTGGAGAGGGGTTGACAGCTTAACAAGCAGACCACCTCCTGACAACCGTTCGGACCAGGGTTTATTACAAATACTTTTTATATAAATTTCAAATACTATAGTGTGGGTAGTCAGAGATTGAGATCCGATACTGAGCTGGGAAGAGGTTGATCCACAGATAGCAAGCAGGGACCCACAGTTACCTTTTTTTTACTTTACAAAGAGAATAAGTCGACATGTTGTTGCAACCAGATATGAACAGTCTGCTGCATGCCATGCGTGCACAGATTGCTACATTAACCTCGCAACTTGCTGAGCTGCAGAACAACCCTCCTGCGGCAACCCTCTCGGTTGAGAAGAAATTCAACAAGAAAGTCAAAGTCATCGCTGACCCTGGCGCCTTCGAAGGAGACAGAGCGCAATTCACCGGGTGGTGGATCAAGCTCCAAATTTGGGTCAAGGCAAACTGGGATGCGTTTGCCAACGATTTTGAGGTAGCCACTGCGGTGCTATCTCGACTAAAAGGACCTGTGGCGGGTCAATACGCCCAAGTTAGATTGCAGGAATGCTACACCACGGGAGTGTGGCCAACCTGGGATAATCTCAAGAAGGAGATTGAAAAATACTACAAACCACAAGCTGAGCGTGACTGGGCGCGTCAGCAAATCCGTTCCTTCAAACAAGGAAACATGAGGACGGATAACTATGTTACCCGGTTCCTGGCCCTCTCCATCCAAGGAGGGCTTGGAAATGAACATGCAGTAGAACTACTGGAACGCAATGTGAACCCTCACATTGCAGAACAGATCTATTTGCAAGATACTAGAAATGAGAACTTGGCCCTGGCAGCTGAGGAAGTACAAAGAATCAGTAGAGCCATGGAGCTTTACCAAATGCACCAAGGTGGCGGGTCCACCACCAAAAACAACAAATCCCAGAGGCGCCCTGGGTCATCAAACCAACATAATCACTCTCACGGGTTCAAGCCGTTTGGGCTGCAACCAGGTCAGGGTGCTCCTATGGATATTGGCGCGGTCCAGGGCGGACAGACGCGCAGATTCACCTGCTACAACTGTGGGCAAGAGGGGCACATAGCCTAAAAGTGTCCGAATGGAGCGCAGGCCGCTCAACAAAGAAATAATCAAGGGCGCCAGGAGCGCCAATTAGAAGCTGAAAAGCCGGACGATCAGCTCAATACTTTGGCGGGTCGTTCGTACGACGAAATCTGGGCCTTCTTCTATGACCAACAGGTCAACAAAATGAAGGCTCAGGGAAAAGAGTTCGGAGCTTAGGTCACTTGTCCCGCCTGGTTGGAGTGTGGGTGGGTAGTTTTTGAGCTGGAGAAGGTTCATCCCCTTGCATTGCCTATGTATATTTCTGTCCCATTCACTTGCGTACATTTATCCTTCGTCCATTTGTTACAATAACACATTTTTGGACCTTTAACTTTCATTCTCCTCTTTAACTTTTTACTGTAGTTTTCTCACATAGTGCCATGCGGCACTTTCCCTTTTGTTCAAAGTCCTCTTTCTCGCGCTGCACTGCCTTTATTCTCATTTTAGCTACAAGTCTCTCAGACAGTGGAGCTGGTCACATGGGCTAGGCCCCATGACATCATAAGCCACTGCCTCCATCAATTGTACAGTACACATGTACAAACAAACCTATAGTAGTATATATAGACCAATAGATCAAGGAGACTCCTCAGCGGTTCCTCCTGTTGTAATGACCAAGAGTTTGTTACTCTGGCGCACAACTCAGACAAGCATAGAGAAAACAGAAAAAGGGATCACCCCTCAGGTTTTAATGGGTTTGTTGTGCTAGACAACAGGAGGACTTGCTGACTCCTTCCCCATGTATTGCTCCTGTATATATACTAAAATACATGAGGTACTGTACAGTTGTAAATAAAGTTTAAAGTCCGATGTCTAGCATGTGACCGGTCACATGATGAGTCTAGACACTGGTCAGGTGATGTGTCACATGATTGGTCATGTGACTATGAAAAGTCCGGAGATGTAAAGTAAAGTAAATGGTCACATGACTGTGACTTGAAAAAGTAAAAAGTAAAAGTACAAAAAAAGTGAAGCTTAAGTAGGTACTGGTACATCAATTGTAACACTTGTTGTATTCTCATCACTAACTTGTTCAAGCCTAAAGGGTAACCACTCCCTCATCATCCTCTCTATAGCTTATCTGAGTTGTGCGCCGGAGTAACAAAACTCTTGGTTACATTAAGACTCACTCTTTACTACTCTCTCACACATTGTGCAAACCCGGACCCCAGGGTTAAGGGGATATTATTATTGTTTGGGAATATCCCATATAGCAGATAGGTTCGCTCCTAGCGATGGCCTTGTAGTGCTTTGCGAGAAGAGACAATAATTTTGATACGCGGCCCCCAGCGTCAAGGGGAGTACTTAGCTCAGCAATAGTTTGGAACTATTGTTGATTACAATTTATATACAAAACTTCTTCTTCAAATACTTCTGACCAGGCTGGGCACTTGCCTCCGCCAGTTTAGAGAAGGGTTGACAGCTTAACAAGCGGACCATCCCCTGACAACTGTTCAGACCAGGGTTTAATACTATAATTGTAATATACATTTTCAAATACTACAGTGTGGGTAGTCAGAGATTGAGATCCAATACTCAGCTGGGAAGAGGTTGATCTGCAGATAGCAAGTGGGGGACCCCCAGTTACCTTTTTTTACATTACCGAAGAGAACAAGTCAACGTGTCGTCGCAACCAGATATGAACAGTCTGCTGCACAACATGCGTGTGCAGATTCAGGCGTTGACAAATCAGCTTGCCGAGATTCAGGCTGCCCCAGCAGCGGAACCTACGGTGTTGACAATGAGAACTGCTGTTAGAAAACCACAAACAAAAACAAACTAACAGACAATCCTCCCAGATTCCATGGAACTTGTTTATGGGCTTTGCCTCCTAGAACAGTGGAGTGGTCTGGTTGTTCGTAGGGTGGTATGTATGATGATCCTTCAAAGTCAAACCCAGAGATGTATGGGTGTGGGTTTTAAGGAGGAGGGATAGTTGAATTATAGGAGATAGGGGCTTAGTGATGAGTATAGACAAGCACTACCTTGCTAATTGTAGCACAAGGTAGGTTTGAGAATGACAATATGACAAGGTGATGAAGTTCCCAGTGATAGCAGGCTTCTGATGCACAGACTGTAATGCTCAGAAGAACTCTAATCAAAAGAGATGATAATCACTTTCAAAAAGTGACGAGTGACAATGACAGCAGTTAACAGTGGTAGCAGTGGGAAGTGTTGTGACCACACTGGATCACAAGCAGCAGAGTAGTGAACTTGAGATTAGAGTAAAAGTCTGGAATGAAGTTCTTGTTCTTTTTACAAGGTAAAATACAGAGGATTATAGTGAAAGAAAAGTAGGCTATGCACAGTATAGCTGTGCAAAAAGAACGAGAAAGAACATGAAGGAAGGAATGTATGCTGATGAATCCTGTATTGGTAGTACAGGATAAGATTGTCAAAAAAAGGAAAAGAAAGGGATAAAACAATGAATGCTGTGAGTAATGTCACAGGTTTGTACAGCCATAAAGTAAAGTCCAATAGCAGAAAGAGAGCAGGAAAATCATGATGTCATGGGAAGAAGATGCAGTAAAAAAAGGGCAAGGCAAAACACTATCAGTATCAACACAGTTTCTTTATTGTCAGTCAGGCATTCTAAAAAAATATGTGTCCATAAAAATGATTCAAAAATCAAAAATAATCGCACTGTAAATGAATATTCTGCTGAAAAAAAAGAAACTGGAGCCACCGGTCCACCACCTAGTCCAAATCCAACGGTTCTATGGGCCTTACCAATGGACTGGTTATATTAGACCACCTGGTCAAACGAAGGAGGAGGGGAGTAGTTCCAATTTGGAACAAGTGAGTCCAGGCAGCGTGTGGTAGGTGTAGCTGTAGCAAAGACGATGGACAAAAGATAAGTGTACTCAAGTGAATGGGACAGCAATGAACATGGGCGACGCAAGGGGATGAACCTTCTCCAGCTCAAAAACTACCCACCCACACTCCAACCAGGCAAGACAAGCGACTGATGTTTTGATAGTATATGATGGCAGATTGACGTCATGAAGATGGACCTGTTACCCTATTTGGACTGGCCGCCGGGGCTTTGCTGATATCAGCAGTGGCACGTGGTAGTTAACGGATTGGCGACGGAAGTGGATAGGAAGTGGTGACATCAGAAATGGTGGGGGTGCAAATAAGATGAGGAGGAGGAGGGTGGAGGTGACAAAAAAGTGGATTAGAATGGGGATCCGGAAACGACCATCAGTTGAGAATAAAAAGGAGAGGAAGGGGCCCATGGTGGGGCTAGGAAAAGGAAGGGGAGTAAGGGAAACGACAAAAGCAAGGGCGCAATGCAATGTGTAGCCAGTGGCTACGCAAAAATTTGCCGAAGTGCCGAAACACGGAAAGTACAGGATGGAAAAGCAAAGGTGAGTGCAACTGGATTGCCTAATAGAGGTGGTGCTGATCAGCCACAAGTTCTAAAAAGGCAATATTAAGTACTATTCCACGTGGCACTGTGCCTGTATGGCGCAAAGGCGAGTCTTTTCGAATATTTGCTTTGTTATTGACACCTGTCCATGCTACCAATCAATTTTGGTGCATGACATCCACGGACAACTTGAAATTGCAACTGTCCCCAGTTGCTTCCATAAAGGTAGGGTCATAGGGAACAAAACATGGCAACACATTAAAAGGTCATGTCAGCATAAAATTTGTTCAGGTAAGTCATTAATCGTTATCTTCATCATCTGAGTTGTCATGCTCATGGTCAGGTTCATCTTCTGGTTCATCTAGGTCGTTATCATGGTCATCCAGTTCGTCCAAGAGGGGCATAGAGTGGCGGTTGAAATAGGGAAGTAGGCGAAATGCTGCAATTCCTCTTCGTGATACTGATCCATCCATTTCTTCTAAAACATATGATCCTCCTTTAGTATGTTGCACAGCTTCATAAGGGCCATTGTAACAAGGCTTTGCTTTATGATCCAGCTCTTTCTCAACCTTAGTATTCCGTACTAGAACAAGCTCTCCAGGCTGGTATTTGTTCTTGAACATCCTTTGTGCATAGAATTTCTCAAACTGTGCTTTAGATCTGAGACACGTTTTGTGTATAGTAAGTGCAACTTGTTGCAAATCATCCTGTCTCTTTTCTAGTTGTCAAATGCGCAGAGCAATGAGGTCTTCTGTTGGCATTGCAGTATGGAATCCATGAACAAGGAAAGTCGCATCTGTCAGATCGAATGGTAGGACTGGGTCAACTCCATGCAACAGATAAAAAGGGCTGAATCCAGTAGAACGACGAGTAGTGACCTTGTCTGCAAAGAAAGCATGATGGACCTTGGTTGGCCATAAATCAACATTCCCTTCACAGGACTTGACCAGTGCTTCTCTTATGATGAAGTGTCCACACTCAACAACACCATTTGCCTTGGAATTGTAGGGAGAAATGCAAATATGAGGGATCTGGTAACGTTCCACAAGCTCTTCAAATGCTCCTTTGACTTTGCTTCTATTATCTGCGACAACTTCTTCTATAGCTCCATAGCGACAGATGCACTTCAGTCAACCTCCTTGCCTCTTAGGTTGGTCAGTTTCTGTTATTTGATGTGCCTAAGAGGCCTTTATCCTGGGATTATCCCATAGGCAGGTAATCCATGCAGGACTCCCTTGAGTTAATGTTATCCAGGAGCAACATGAGAACCCTGGGAGTCCCAATTGGTGCCAGGGGTCCTAGCACTAATTAATTCCAAAAATCCTATACCCTATATCAATATAAAGCAGGACTATCTTGGAATAACCCAAAATCAAAGTATTTTACTTTAAAGTGTGTATTGACTAATCTAATTATGTTATAGAATATCTTGTGGGAGTACTTTCAAATGTTATCCATATAGAAATAGTAGTTTTACCTGGTATTTTGAATAACATGTAGGTACTCCCAAAGGATTCCATGGTACAATAAAGAAATCCTAATGTAGTATAAGTAGTACCCAGAGTAGTCTCATTGGATACTATGGGCAGCTTGCAGGTGCTTCTAATGAATATCTGGGTGTAATAGGGGTATTATGGATAATTATTAGGATACTAACAGTAAATATAGTAGTCTCATTTGGTGTTCTAGACATCTCAGTGGTAATTCCCAAGGACATATAAGTATAAGGAGGATGTTCCAGATGTCTTGGCTAGTTATGGGGACCCCCAAAGGACTTCCATATAAAATAGGAACATTCTACTGGGGCATCTGAGACAGCCAGTGGGACATAAGTAGTAATGCCATTGGATATTGTGGATACTGTACAGGTACTCCAAAAGATATCCATGTATAATAGAGACATTCTGGATGACCATTAGGATACTAACAGTACAAATATTAGCCTCATTCAATATTCTGTGTTGCCCATTGGGATATAATTAGTACCTTCAGTAGTTACATTTGATGCTTTGGACATCATGTGGTACTCCCAAAGGATATCCAGGTACAATAAAAACATCTTAGGTGACCATTGGGACACCAACAGTATAAATAACAGTCTCATTAGATATTTTGAACAATGTGTGGGTGTCCTCACAGGACATCCAGGGTATAATAAAAACATCCTACTAGAGTATCTGTAGTACCCAGTGGGAAATAAGTAATACTCAAAGTAGTCACATTAGATATTCTGACTTTATTTTGTACTCTCAAAGGATATCCAGGTATAGTACAGATGTTTTGGATGAAAATTGGGACTCCTGCAGAGAGTTTGTTGGTATACAACAGGAGGACTCGCTGAGGAGTCTCCTGGATCTATTGGGGTATATATACTACTACAGATTTGTTTGTACATGTGTACTATACAGTTGATGGAGGCAGTGGCTGATGATGTCATAGGGCCTAGCCCATATCGCCAGCTCCACTGCGTGAGAGAGTTGAATCTAAAATAAGAGAAAGGCAATGCGGCGCAAAAAAGGGGAAATGCCGCATGGCACTATGTGTGAAAGCTAAAGTATAAAGTTAAAGCGGAGAATGAAAAGAAGGGAAATGTCCGGAAATTGTGTTATCGTAACAATTGCTCGTCAACATCGTTTTTTGAGAGGCTGTGAACACATTGCACGATCCCTTAATTGGCAATATTTGTCCTTACCTTTGCCCAGGTTTATCTGATTTATATGCAAAAATGGCAGGGAAGCTCAAGCCCACTGCTCTTCTCTGGCTCAATAAACCAATTATTGATGAACTCACATAGGCTGCCAATCTCCTTCACCAGTCCGATGGAGTTTGTTTTGCTTAAATCTGTCTCCTGAAGTTTCAAACACCTTTCAGATGATGTCCTCAGTGTTTATTGTTATGCATCAGGAACAGGCATGGGTTTCTGGTACTCATCCCTCTTCATTGGTTTCCAGTATCCACTTCCAGCAAATACCCCCTCATTGACCATTTTCTATACCAAGGCACTGTGTGTCTAGCTATTTTCTCTGATAGCCTTGACACAATAGCCATGTTTAACTCTTTCAGTGCTAAACCTGCCTATAACCAACTTCTTATTCACCATGTTGATATGATGCTCAAAGACAAGGTAGATCTTTGAGTTTCTCACGTCTCAGGCCATCAAAATGTCGTCGCAGATTATCTCTCACAACGGAATTTGGCTGACACACTCAACATTCACCGCACCCTATGTGTAATCCCTTTTCAACCCCCTCAAAATGCGCTGGGGGCAGCAAAAAATGATACATTCTTCCCTTTCACCCTGGCAACCACTTTGTCCTGTCTGGACTGACAAGCAACTCCTCCAGGAGTGTTCAATCAATCTTGGTATGATTTTTGACTCATCCTCACTTTGTACATATCCTTCCACCCTTAATTCTTACGCCTCCTTTGCCATTTCCACCATTTTCCCATTTACCCCACCCCGGACACACTCTCCTTGTTTGTGTCTTTTATGGCTACACATATTAGTCCCAGATCAGTCAACAACTACCTCACAAGTATTGTGAATCAGCTCAAAACCTATTTCCCACATGTCCGCACCTCTCGCAACCACCCCCCTTGTCACTCAAACCTTGAAAGGTGCCATGAGACATTTTGCCAAGCCTATCCATTGTAAACTCCCATTATCCCTTCACCACCTCCACACAGAACATATGTGGGGTCACCAACTGGTTATGGTCACCTTGCTGGTAACCCCGCCCAAACGGGAAGGTCGCGTGACCACTCCAGTATGCAGGGCATTGCCAGTGCCCAGACTCACAAAACCTGGGTTGCGAATCATTCGGCTTCAATGGTCAATTGGAGCGGAGTATGAAAAAGCAAGGGATCAGACGGATTGAAAGATTCTCATCCCCACTCACTGTTTATATGATATGCAGCATCCAACACGGCAATGCTAGTGTTAACCCTCGATCAAACAAGGTGTTGAAGCCCTGTTGGGCCACTGGCCATCCGCCAGATGAGTTATGCCAGTCTCACTCATGGCCGTCCAAAGGTGAGTTCTCTTTTTAATTTTAATTTTACTTTTTTTTCCCCCTTGTGTCCAACCAGAGGAGGACTATGAACGGGGGCACATATAACCCATTGTGCTCCCTTTTTTTCTATTTACTGGATATTTTTACCAGAGACAACAAACGGGGCACATATAACCCATTGTGCTCCGTTCTTTTTTATTTACTTTATATTTTTCTTCACATAACACACACTCCGTTCCTTTCTTTTTAATTAATTCTAATTTTACTCTCATTTAATTCTGTTTTTACTCTATTCAGATGAACAGAACAAATGGGGCATGTTATTCCCAGTGGGGACGGTGTGCCCCGTTCACCATCTTGATTGCAGAGACCAAGGCAAATGATGGTTTGAGACTTGAGAACCAAAGACCATGAAAGGGGCGCATATTCCCATTGTGGCCCATTTGTTTTGATTGCAAATTGTGGATAGAAGGGTGCCCGTTTATCTCAATTACAGACACCATGACAAACAAGGTGTTACAATAAACACAATTTTCGGACCTTTCCTTAATCTCCATTCTCCGCTTTAACCTTTTACTGTAGTTCACACTCCGTGCCATGCAACACTTTCCTTTTTGTTCTAACTCCACTTTCTTGCGCGGCACTGCCTTTATTCTTCTTTTAGACACAAAAGTCTCTCACGCAGTAGAGCTGGTCACACGGTGTCATGCACCAAAATTGATTGGTAGCATGGACAGGTGTCAATAACGAAGCGAATATTCGAAAAGACTCGCCTTTGCGCCACATAGGCACAGTGCCACGTGGAAAAGTAATTAATATTGCCTTTTTAGAACTTGTGGCTGATCAGCACCACCTCTATTAGGCAATCCAGTTGCACTCACCTTTGCTTTTCCATCCGGTACTTTCCGTGTTTCGGCATTTCGGCAAATTTTTGCGTCGCCACTGGCTACACATTGCATTGCGCCCTCGCTTGTGTCGTTTCCCTTACTCCCCTTCCTTTGCCTAGCCCCACCATGGGCCCCTTCCTCTCCTTTTTATTCTCACCTGACAGTCGTTTCTGGATCCCCATTCTAATCCACTTTTTTGTCACCTCCACCCTCCTCCTCCTCATCTTATTTGCACCCCCACCATTTCTGATGTCACCACTTTCTATCCGCTTCCGTTGCTGATCCGTTGACTACCACATGCCACTGCTGATATCAGCAAAGCCCCGGCGGCCAGTCCAAATAGGGTAACAGGTCCATCTTCATGACGTCAATCTGCCATCATATACTATCAAAACATCAGTCGCTTGTCTTGCCTGGTTGGAGTGTGGGTGGGTAGTTTTTGAGCTGGAGAAGGTTCATCCCCTTGCGTTGCCCATGTTTATTGCTGTCCCATTCACTTGGGTACACTTATCTTTTGTCCATCGTCTTTGCTACAGCTACACCTACCACACGCTGCCTGGGACTCACTTGTTCCAAATTAGAACTACTCCTCTCCCTCCCTCGTTTGATCAGGTGGTCCAACACAACCAGTCCATTGGTAAGGCCATAGAACTGTCAGATTTGGACTAGGTGGTGGACCAGTGGCTCCAGTTTCTTTTTTTTCAGCAGAATATTCATTTACAGTGCGATTATTTTTGATTTTTGAATCATTTTTATGGACACATATTTTTTTAGAATGCCTGACTGACAATAAAGGAACTGTGTTGATACTGATAG